CAGGAATATCCCTTATCCCTCATGGAAAACCACCAGTCCTGCTCCATCCATGGTCCTTTTCCCTCCCTAGGCTTCATTTATCCCAGATTTTGCTGCAGGATGAAGCATTTTGGGCTCTCCTGACCCTCCTACACATCCTCACCATGGTGGTTGGGAACTGGTGGGAACTGGGGTGGGAACTGGTGCTGACTGGGACACTGATTGCTCCAGCAGGATCTCCCAGGGAGGAGGAAATTATTCCATGGATCTTGGGATGGGAATCTCATCCTTACAGGTGATATCACCAAAATCCACCCCAATCCAGGTCTCTGGTGGGTGTTGATTCCCTTCTTCCCACTCGTGGGAACAAGTTGGCATTGACCTCCCAAAGTTTGGCTCTTCCCAACCCTTGGGAGAAAGGGAACAAGGAGAGGACTGGAGAGAGTCCAGAGACAACCACATTCCAGCAGGGATGAAGTGGGTGCCTGGAATGAGATTTTCTGAGGGTTAGGATAATCCTGGGAAAAACAGCTTCCAACCCTGTGGAGGGAGGGGAAAACCTCCTCGAGCTGTTCCTGGTGCCACCTGGGAAGATGTGCCATCCCTCAATCCTCGTGGAGAGAGGAAAAAAACTCCTCCAGCTGTTCCTGGTGCCACCTGGAGACTGTGCCATCCCTCTATCCTTGTGGATGGGGAAAAACCTCTTCAACCTGTTCCTAGTGCCACTTGGGAGGATGTGCCATCCCTCTATCCTTGTGGATGGGGAAAAACCTCTTCAACCTGTTCCTGGTGCCACCTGGAGGATGTGCCATCCCTCTATCCTTGTGGAGAGGGGAAAAAACCTCCTCCAGCTGTTCCTGGTGCCACCTGATATGCTGTGCCCACCCCTCCAGATTCCTTACCCCATGCCATACCTGTACCCTGGCTTCAGTCAGGTCTGTCCGAAGTGCCAACTGCTCCCGGGCATAAACATCGGGATAATGTGTCCTTTGGAAAACCTTCTCCAGCTCCTGCAGCTGGTACATGCTGAAGGTTGTCCTGTTCCTCCTCTTCTTGCCCTTGCCCTTGCCCAGGGGCTGGTGGAGCTCGGGGACTCCGTGGCCCCTCAAGGTTTTTTTTTTCAAGGGACACTCCAAATCCCCCGAGGCTTTTGGGGGGCCCCGACAGGCTGTGGGCAGCACTCGGGACCCTCCTTTGCTGCCCTTCTCATCACCTGGCACGGGGCAAGCACAGCGGGAGGAGGGGTTAATGACACTAATGAAGCTAAGAAATCTCCCGTGCGGCTCCCAGGGGAGCAGGGCAATGAGATCAACATCTCTGTGGGGGCTCCTTGGGGCTCTGCAC